CAAACTTTTGTAGGAAACAGTTATTGGATCCAGATGCTATGTGATCCTCAAGAACAAGTTGGAACCGAAATTAGTTGGATTCCTAAACTGCATCACATCCACTGGAATGGGCAAATGGTGTTTCCATGTGATATCCACGTATGTAAGTCATGAATGCTTCAATGGCATGCGTTGGGCTTAATTTAATTTTTATTTTTAAGCATGACATCTGTTTTGATTGATTAAAATCTTGTCTTTTCTTGATCAAATGTAGTTAATATTCTACGAGACCCCAGCCTATGGTGCTCACCATTTCTCATTACATCCTTGGAATTCATTTGATCAAGTGAATGCTCCAGAGAGAAGACCCAAGTGGGTTGATGAACTTCACCAGAAGCAGCCACTCCTTGACTTGGTAAGAGTTTTTGAGAATTTTTTGTGCATCAAGACTTACCTTTGTTGTTAATATTGCAATACGATTATGATATTGTTTTCATGCAGGATACGGTCATTCTGGCAATCAATAGCTCCGCTGCTGCTGACAAAGTTTTTGAAAGATGCATGGGTCCCAAGAAATCTACTGTGCGCTTTTCCACAGTTTACATGTATTATTTTCACACATTTGTCCTCCCCACTTTGCTTTCGAAGTCCTGCTTTGCTCTGTAGTATTCAAATGGACTTTGTGTGGCATTTCAGGTTTCTTGCCTTCACATGGCAACTACTTGCTGTGTCTGTGGCTTCATTGTCCATGTTATTCTATGTCATTGTTCAGTTTCTCTATAGGCTTCTGAAGTATGCATCAGATTCATGGGTATACATCATATCAGTAAAGGTATTCAGCAGTTCAAGGATAAATATCAGAATCCGTTGTTCTCAGATCTTGTATTGGCCAATCTTTCTTCAAGATAATGGCACAAGGTAATATGAAATTCTATGTTGAACACTGGAAATTTATCTGATTGATGAGTTGTGTTTAAAATGCCATTCCATATAGCATTCTAATTATTGATGAAATTTACAAATGCAAATACAGAAATCTATGTTGAATACAGTTGAGTTGTCTAACTGATAAGTTGGGTTTCAAATGCCATTTCATTTAGCGTTCTATGTTGAATACTGGGAAGTTATCTGACTCATAAGTTGGTTTTCAAATGCTATCAGATTTCACACCATTTTGATTTATGAGGAAGTTTTTCTCTGTAAACTTATGCATGTTAATAAAGTGTTAACGTTTTCTGATCTGTACTTTTGTAGGCTGGGTTTGCTTGACTACCATGTTTGGCATTCACCTGATCTCTTTCTTTTCGTCCTTGTCTACATTGCCTTATATTTGACCCCAATTGACAGTTATCGTGATATTTATTTCTTTTGTTGTATCATCATTTTTTCTTTTTTGGTATTGAACTCTTATTTCTTTCATGAACAAACTGCAAATTTTTTCATCATCTTCTTCTTTATTTCAAAGGTCGCTATCAAGTGTTGAATATGCGGAGAAAGCTGCATTGCATAAGCATTCCATGTGGTCAAGTTTAGCTGTTGATGTACTTCTGGGAAACTTGTTCGGTTTGGCACTGCTGTATCATGCAGAATCTGCTTGCATGTGGGTCCTGAAATTTGCCAGTGACATTACAAATGAGTTATTGCGCTCAGGTTGTGTGTGGTTAATGGGAGTCCCCGCAGGTTTTAAGTTAAACACGGAATTGGCAGGAGTTCTTGGGATGATTTCTCTAACTGCTATCCAGATTTGGTCTACCATTTGGATCTTTTTGGGGTTTCACTTCATTTATTTCATTAGAGGACTTGCTATATCAGGAATCATTTTTGGGGTGACTGTACCTGCTGCTTTGATAAAAGACTTGATTGCACTAGCAACGTTACATGTGTCCACTCTTCACTGGTTGATATCCCTTTTATATTCGACTCAGATACAGGCATTGGCAGCTTTGTGGCGCCTTTTCAGGTATTATTCTCGGATTTCTTGCTCTTGCATTTTCAGTCTTTTAAACTTCTACATATGGCCAACCAAAAGCAAATGTACTTTGTTTGGTAATTCTATGAATGCGATATGGTCATTTTTCTAAACAACCTATTCTCTATCCCTTAATGCTTATTCATCACCTGTTGGTTTGGTTGTTATGTATTTAATACATATTCTGCGGTCAAATCACACTTTAAGTTGATGTAGTTTAGTCTGTTTTCTACTTAATTATCTGTAGTTAAGAAAATTTCAATTGTACCCCTATAGTTGATTACAATTACAATCAAGGACAAAACATCAATTGCGTCTAATAAATTGATGGAGTGGCAACCTGGAAACATAGGTATGTCTAAAGACATCTACGACCACATGTCTGTTAAATTATTAGACTGAGTTGATGTATTGTCCTCAGTTGCAAATGAACCAAAATACAGGGGTACAATTGGAAAAATTTAGGTGGACAGGAATTGAAGTGTAAAAAATAAGCTAAAATACAGGGAGTACATGTGTAATTTGATCTAGTTCTGCCAGTAGCCAATATTCCATTAAGGAGGCAAGTCCATCCATGATTGCTGTTATTGTGGAACTTTCCTCATTGGTTTGACACTGACTTTTTCTTTATTTCTCTAGCTAGTTGGGACTATGATTTTGTTTTTGCATTTTATTGTATAATTGTATTAGTTTATAAATTTTAGTGCCCATAATTTAATAGATATTTGAAACATATAAGTGTGCCTTGAAGCGTTGAGATTCTTGGGTTAAATGTGCTGGGACAAAGTTTACCATAGTGCTACCAGTTGAATCAGTCCCGCTACTTGTGAATTTTAAGTTTTTTATGTTTGTTAACTACTTCGTATGGTCTTTATGTTCTTTACACTGTCTGTAATTTATACATATCCATCTAAGAATTAGTGTGCACTCAAAACTTCAGACACTTTATTAATATCACCTCTTGAGTCCCATAGCAGAATCATGTTTGTGTAAGTTGTCCACCAACCGACCAAAAAAAGAAAGTAAATGAATGTACACTTGTACTCCATGCAAGACATGCTTGTATTGGTTGATGCAAATTGCTGTTTTCTGAGAAAATCTTCTTTTCTTGTGCATGCTGCTACAATTCAATACCCTTTAGAATATATTCAATGGAATTTTCAAGGCATTTATTTTTTCTTTTCTTGAATGGCAAACTCCGATCAGAATTTTGATTATATATAATTGGGGAAGGTGCAAGTAAAATTTGTCCTTTATCCATGATTGTTTTTCTATTTTATAACATCTAATTGCTTGTGTACTTGCCGAATGCTTTCCAGGGGTCGAAAGTGGAATCCTCTTCGTCAGAGATTAGATAGCTATGACTATACTGTCAAGCAACACATCGTTGGATCTCTTCTGTTCACACCACTCCTGCTTCTATTACCGACAACTTCTGTTTTCTATATTTTCTTTACCATTATGAATACAACCATCAGCCTTATCTATATACTGATTGAAATCACTATATCTGTTATTCATGCCACACCTTACATCAAAATTTTCCTTTGGTTGGTCATGCCAAAAAGATTTCCCTCTGGGATATGGTTTGAAATTGTATCTGTTTGGAGTGATTGCATTTATTCACATAAGGATATTAGTTCACCAGCAGATAAATTGCAGAGTGAAAAGGGCCTAACTGGAGAGAAAGCTTCTGTTGTGGTTTCATTTCTTCATAGCAACTTCTTGACTGTAGGTGAGAGCTCGATTCTTTTATTTAGTGAATTAGTGATGTTTCATTGGATTGCATCTGAATTCTGAAACCATCATATGTCAACTACTTGGGCTTGGATTTTGAAATAATTCACCATTTTTAAGTCTTATCAGGAGTCAGGACCATGTAACATTATTAGCTTTGGCTTTAAAACTTCAATAATTTTGAGTGTAAAGTTGTGAGGCTCTGTTTACGTGTGTGCGCATGTGCTGTAGCATTGATCTTTGATAATTTGAATGGTTAAAAGGAGTAGTCCAGCTAGCTCCAAATGCAAGTTATATGCTGATTTTGTTTTAAAAGCTTTAAGGTAACTCATATGCATATGCATGCATATTCATGATAATAGCTGAAAGATACATCTCTACTGTTGAAGTGGTGAAGTACTTTTTTATGTCTGGTATTTGTTCTGCCAACTGTTATTAATGGGGCATGCATATCAGGACAAATAGTCATGCCTCACTACAACAAGATTCTTTCTGGGAAACCTCGGACATTGGTTGCTACAGCAGCTTATGGAGTCCTTACTGGCAGACGGTGAGTTGAAATTTGAATATAGTTTTGATGGTTATTTTGTGGATATTTCAATTTTTTAACTTTTAAAATTGGTTCCAGGATTCCATCTACAATTGGGACTGATCTTCCAATATTTCCATGGATGCTAATCTCCTACAAAGAGTATTGGCGGCTTTGCCACGATTCAATTCTTGCATGCTACAGAAGATGACTAGAGATTTTTTAAATTTTTTATATATGTTTTTTTTTTTTTTACAACTAATTGCATTCTTCATTTAACCTAGCTAGCGATTCTCTCTCTCTCTCTCTCTCTCTCTCATGTAACCACTCTTGCTGCCCATTGATTGCTTTTAGGACCGTTCAGGCTCCACACCTGATTCAATTTTGGAGGATTTGTAGGATGGGTTTTATGTAAAGAAAAAGTAGGTTATTTTTTCAGCTTATTAAACTTAGTTTAAGTGTTAAATCTAGAAAGTCTGCTTGAATTGTTGTTAGCTACTTATTACAGCTGCCCTCAGTTAAAGCCTACCCGACCTCTATTACCTGCGTTGCTTAGAAACATGAGAATGAATTCTAGAGCAAACATGTTTGGATTTAAACTAGCTGTATTATAATTTTCAATTCAGGTTAATTCTAGCAATGCATGGCAAAGAAGATATAACAAATCAGGTACTTAGAATTAACCAAGAAACAAGTTTACCAGCAAAAGATAAACTGCTATAATAATTTTCCAAGCTGCTAAATTCAGAAACCAAGTTGACCAACAATTTAGAAAGCAAAACGGAATCACCAACTCTGATGAATTGGGGAGATTTGACAGAATCTTGGGTGGATCCAAATCCCTTTAAAATCAGGGCTCTTGGTTGTGGATGAGGAGGATTGTTCAGCAGACACAATGCTCTCGTTCTCATTGAAAACAACAGAGTCTTCGCCATCCAACTCCCGGATTTGTGTTCCACAAGTAGAAATTGAAACGTCCCTTCCCATCCCCAGCTGCTGCTTCACATTCTTTTTGTCCAAATAACCCATTTCATCTCTCAATGATACAATTTCATCTTCAGCTGGTGCCGGAGCTGGTGCTGAAACAGGAATAATGGAAAAGCACTGCCACTGTAGGTTGCCGGCAGTAGTGACAGCGACCTGGATCAACCTGTCTCCTCCGCAGGCGAAAAAATAGAATTCTCCGTTGTGAAAAGCACCACATTCAATTCTGTTAACTGGCCATGGGGTGAAATTGCGCTGGTGTCGGATCCATTCATTGGCTCCGCAATGAAGAACATTCAGCTCCAGTTCTAAATCATTGATACGGCTAATGACAGAAACAATGCAATCTTGACAAGTGGGAGGGGATGAAAATGCTGCAACATGCTCACATAGTTGTGAGGCTGGCAACTTTGGAAGGTCGATTTTCGCACGAGAGAAGGGGCAAAAGAAGAAGATTGAGCCGCATGATGGCTTGAAAAGAAGTAGCCATCCTTGGTTTGATGCAAGGCAAGTTGCTCCTTTTAGTTCTGGAATATTACTGATGGTGTACTTTTTACCACTTTCACATATTAGCAACTGGCATTGATCAGAATGTTCCTCGTACAGTAAAAACCAGGGTTCATATGAGGATTCATTCTGAGCTGAAGCTGTTGAAGAAGCAGAGTTCCAAGCCTTGCAGACACTGCGGAAACTCAGAAGATCGATTAGGCTTAGACCATCTGCTATTTTTGACAACAGTTCAGGAGGAAGAAGATCGGACAATGGCGGCGGGGGACGGCTTTCCATGCACACTTTTTTCCTCATTTGCTCCTCAGAAGATCACCTTTGGCGCTGCATATCAAAATGGAACAAAAAACACAGATGGAGGCAAACACATATTACTATTCATATATACCAAACAACAATATCTCATGCATTTATATTAGATGAACATATAACATTGCATATGTCTACTGTCTACACATACATATCAGTCTTAGTCCCTTTCTATAGGCACACCCTTTGATGTATTCTTCATTCATAGATTATCCTTACAAAAGCTGGACAGATTGAAAACTTTAAGGCATCTAGTTGCAGACAAATACGGTGCTTCAAGAAAAAGACTAAAATAACAACCATCTATTTGAGTGATCAAATAGTTTTGCATTCAAGTGATTTTTTTGTAGAGATGATGTTTGAGAGAATATCTAAAAGCTAACAGTTCAAATCATTGAAATACAATGCGTGGTGGTCAGGATTCCTCAATTGAAGCTCACTATATATATATAACACATGATCATGGAAAGTTTGGAAAGAGAAAAAGAAAACCCAACAACAATAAATCAACAGCTTCAGAACTCTATGTTCTGACACATAAAAAATAAAAAATAAAAAGAAGAAGCAAGATATGGATGAAATATACTAACACCTGAGAACTAGTTGAACAAAAATGGAGTCACTGGAACGACAGAGAGCAAATTTTGTGCTTATTTCGAAGGAAAACGTTGTATATATTTCTGCCTCTAAGAGCTTCTGTTAAGAGTGTTTTGTATGAAAAAAGAAAATATTTATAAGTAGTGTTTACGGTTTAACATGAAATATTCTAATAGAACTGGGTGTTCTAATTTCAGTAAATCACAATAGCCGACCCAAAATATAAATAAGGATTAACCATATTTTACTCCAATATGAAATCCTAAATTTGATCAAATTACTCACTTTGTCAATTATATCGTTTGATTTTCTATTAAATTGATAACTTTAATTTTATTGCCTGCGTAATTTGACAACAACACCCTAACCCACAACTTCACCGTTTGATTTTCTATTAAATTGATTACCTCACTTTTAATACTATAAATAAATAGATTTTTTCTGTTTAAACCCCACATTTGTTCACCCCAATACTTAAATTATTAAGCTCTTAAGTTTGATTATTGTGTAAAAATACAAAAAAAAAACTTAATACTTAACCTTAGTACATCTATACACATACCTCACACACCCCACCACCCTTCATAGTTCTAGAGAAAAGAAAAGGAAAATGCTAGGGAGACCAACTTTAGATACCAACTTGTGTATCATCTCTCTAATATAGTGTGGGACCCATTTTATTGGTGGACTCCACTTTTATTAGAGAGATGGTTGTTCACCTGTTTTATGTTTGTTCCTGCGATAGTAGGGTAAAGTTCCTCATTGCCTCGAAAACTATTGACTGGTCAACAAGTCAACTTTCTTTAGTGTGCGAGCGTGCCACTGCTAGCAATGAAAATCCTAGTATACTTCTTAAAAATAGATAACTTGCACCCCAAGTTACTGATTTCTAAACAAGCTATTGTGAATTTGGGTGAGGAATATCTCCCAAGTCAGTTCTTTTCTTGCCTCAAACTGGTGAAGACTTCATAATTTTTCACAGTGCAAAACTAGTAGTTCTGGCCAGAATAAATGATAAGAAAGTGAAATGTTTTAGGCGGAACTGCCTTGTACAAAGCTCAAGAAGGAAGACCAACTCTAAAAATACAAAAGGGAGCTTCTAGACTTCAATTTCTGCCTAGATAAGTGCTTCTTATCCAGGCTGGATTGGGTGTGCCTGTGCTGGACTGGACTATCAACACCTTCAACTGTCAAGTTTCAACTGTAAATTGATATCAACGTTCGAGTTTGGCATAGCTTAATCTATTTCAAGCCCTGGAAGGCATTTTGAACGGGCAGAATTGGGACCTCTTTAGTCTGGAAGGGGCAAAAGTGGTTGGATTCGACGATTACTGAGCTAAAACTGCACTGTAATACCTGTTCTGCTTGATCAGGGCTCTCCATAAATTTGTTGAGGTTTTCATATTTGTAAAACTCAAACTCTACTTGACTTGGCTTATACTAAACCAAATTTGTAATGAAAGAAGTCTCGCTTTGAATGACTATTTCTCTTAAACTGAACTGGAGTTTAGAGATTCTGATTTGTAGCTGACTTGCTTCTTGTGGCTCAATGAGCTATTGGTTGTTTCAGTGTTTTGAAGGTTTTTTTGAGATCAAGTGATCATTTTGAGTTTATGTTTTTGATTGATTTTTGGTTGTTCTTTGATCTGTCCACCTCCTCTCATATTTATAGGAAATGCTGGATTTGGTTTTCTAATCTTTAAAGAATGGGCGGTAGATTTTCTAAAAGCAAGATCTTTCTTTTTTAATGTCAAAGAAAAATGGATTTTATCTATTCTGGCAGACAAACCATCAATATTCATTTCTTTTTTTGGTGATTACTTCTCTGCTCTTTTGATCTTTAACTGCTCTTGTGAGAATTCAATCTGTTGTGATGGTTAGTTTGATTTTCTAGATGGACAACTCTCTGCATCCTACTTATCTCTTTAGAAAATATAGCTTGCTTATCCCTTGGAAATGACACCTGCTGTGGAGCATAATTTTTCTGAATATAGAAAAAATGATTTTGATCTTTCCTTTGTCTGTGAAAGACTGGAGAAATCTTCCTGCAAAACTGCCTTCATTAATTCCTTGTGTCAAATCCTCTTGTGACTAGTTGAAATAGTTGACTTTTCAAAGTCGAGTAGTCACGTGGGTTTTTTTTCAGAAAAATCTGTTGACTTGTTCCTGGCCTTCTTTGAGAGTGATGGTGAGGATTTAGAAACTGGGCCCAATCCAACTCTTCCTTCTAAAAAAATTTAACGATTTGCTTGGTGGCCAATTTTGCCATTCTTTTGGAAATTTTACTGGTTTGCTTTGTGTTTTCATAATTCTGCCATTTCACAAAAAAACACGAACCTCTGGCACTGATTGGGCTTCCGTATGGAGTTAAGGCCCGGTCTTCTATTTTCCTGCTCCTGGGCTTCTTTGTGAGAAGTGGGCTGGCGTGTGAATTCTTTTAGGCCCAAACAATGGTACACAAGTTGGTATCTAAAGTTGGTCTCCCTAGCATGACCTTTTAGAAAAACACAAACTCATCAAAACCCTATTGCCATATTACTCTTCTCTTTTAAATGGGTAGAACGTTGAAGAGCCTACCTCTTTAAAAGCTGCGTGGTGAAAACATTAAATAGAATGAGAAGAATCTAAGAGAATTGAAGAAAAAGATTTTGTTTTCTATTTTTGTTTCTTGCTAAATCAATCAATTACCAGCCTACACGATTCTTATGTATTGTTACATTGTATTCTTCTCGACTAAGCAATCTAACTAATTCAACAAATCATGACATGACACGACACTTGTCATCTTATAATAGGTACAAGTGCCTTTATATCCTATCACGTGGGAGCTGGATGGAGTGAGAAGAAAATTATGACTTCTAATGATTTTTTATTTGCTTGCAAATTATGTTCAAACGATTAAGGGTGTTGAGGCGTTGAGATTATGAGGTCTTAACTTCTTGTGTTTTTTCGTAATATATTATCTACTTTATGAGATGCTTTACTTCTTGTGTTTCAATGCAATAAAGTGTTCAATTCCTTCACCTATCAATATCATCTAACCTATAGTAGAGTATTAGTTTGTATCACGTCAATAGTGCGTTCCACTCACTCCAAAGTTAAAAAATTGTGTTTTTACATAATAATAATAAGATAAATATGATCCACTGGTAGAAGCCTTGGAGTGTTCGTATTTGTGTCGTTTTTAAAGTTTTTATTCCCAAGTCAACATGGTAGTCGCATCTCTCCCCCAACAACGGCAGAATTAAAAGTCAGAACGAAGCAGAGCAAAATTGCGGACTCTCATACATACATCTAATCTAATTAAACTTGGTTCACTGCACAATTCTCAAAAGAAAGAAAAAGATGTTGTTGGCAATGGCATCATCAGCTCCCACAATCGGACTCAGTAGTAGGAGCTTAATATTCTCACTCTTCTTCCTCGTCCCACTGTTGATATCAACACTTTGTTCAAATGCAAATGCAAATGCAAATGGCGACGCAGGCTCTGCTGTTTCTATTTGCATCGTCGGCAGCGGCATCGGTGGGTCCTCTGTGGCCCACTTCCTCCGCCGCTACTCTCCCCCTAATCTCGACTTCACCATTCGGATCTTCGAGCGAAACGGCGTCGTTGGGGGTCGCATGGCCACGGTCAACGTCTCCGGCCAGACCTTCGAGGCCGGCGCCTCCATTCTCCACCCGAGGAACTTGCACGCCTTGAACTACACGAAGCTCCTCAACCTCACCATCAGCACCCCTTCCGATTCCGAGTCCTCTTCTGGTTTTGCAATTTGGGATGGCCACAAGTTTGTATTCAAGACTCTCAGCTTCAAATCCAAGCTTCCCTTTGCTCAGAAGATTGTTTCTCTTGCTAATTCACTCATCATGCTCCTCAGATATGGCTTCTCCCTTGTCAGGATGGAGAGATTTGTTGAGGTTCTCTCTCTTTCTTTTTATATTTTTTTTCCTTTTTATTATTCTATTTTACGTGGGATTTAGCTGTTGATTGTGATTTTTCTGGTGCAGAGTGCTGTGAATAACTTCTGCAAGTATTATGAAGGCTTTGAGACAAGACCTGTTTTTGAGACAGTGGATGAGATGCTTCAGTGGGCTGGTTTGTACAATCTCACCACAAGGACTTTGGCTATGGAATTGGCTGATGCTGGCTTGTCTCCCTTATTGATACAAGAGCTTGTCACTGTAAGAACCTTCCCGCTACAACACGTTTCGAGGGTGTTTGCTTTTCCTTAGTTTTCTTTTTCTTTTTTCGTCATATATGAAAAATATGGTATATTTCTTTGTGCATAACAATTATCACTAGTTTCACTTCAGTTAGATTGTTATGAAGAATGCAGTTTGGATTATGTTGTGAAGTAAATCTAACCTGACAAAAA